CCGCTGCGTCACTCGTTCGATGATGTCTGGGTTCAGGGTGGGGGATTTGGTGTTGAGTAGGGTGCTGAAGAATCTCGCCCACCGTTGGAGGATGTCGTCCCTGTTCAGGAGCAACACGCCGTTCTCATCCGCGACGAACTGCTGTCCCCCCGCTTGTCTCCCGCTGAGGCCCACTGATCTCTTGAGGTGTTGGTACAGTCCTCTCATGTCGCGATCTTTGTAGATTGCTTCGAGTTCAGTCACATATCCGTCCAGGTGGGCATAAATGCCCGTTTCGACTGCTGTAGCCACTCCCTTACACGCTGCTTTGAGAGTTCTCCACGTTGCTGAGTTCCAGTTGCCCCTCATCGCCCGGCGCGCTTCCCGCCGTGTGGTAAGGGCCTCCTCCAGCGCTGCTCTCGTCTCTGGGGTCTCACACCACCCCTGCGTGCGACGTCTCCGCGGTTCCTCCCCTAGGGTCGTCCGTGCTGCTTCGAGGAGAGCATTGGTAAAGTCGGTCACCAATTCCGCGGCGGTGGTTGTTCGTTCGTCCAGTCGTGTGTCGAGGTTGAGGAGGAACCGATCAGTCACCGCACCTCGTGCTGTTTCGAACTGCAATTCCCGTCGGTTGAATTGCTGCTGTTTCGGTTTAGTCCGGACTGCACGGTTGTGGGCAAGCCTGCCACCGAGGTTGACGGTGGCTACTACCATGTTGTGGTCTGAGTCTGCTTTGACTGGGCGAACCGGCTGGGGGGTGACAACCACGTTAGAAACTCGGCCGTGATGTGCCTGCCTTGTCAGGATGTAGTCAAGTCGCTTGCAATCGTTTCCCGACACACCGTTGTATGTGTGCCATATTCCGCCCTTGCGTGTCTCGAAGAACTGATTGGGCAATGGTGGACAGTCCGTGGCCGGTGTGCAAGGGAGAGAACAGCACCCGCCGGAGCCGACTCAAGTCTAAAAGCCCTATCAAATGTCCCCGAATATCGAGGGGACATTTGATGGCGCTTTTAGACAACAACTGGCCCAAGCGTGGTAAACGGGGCACGAAAAGGAGGAAAATGAGGCATTCAAGATATTCCTCTAGAGGGAACGCGAGACCTTCAAACCAAAGCCCTACGTTGCACGGAGCCTCCTTTCATCGGTGGGCAAGGTGCTTCTTCGAGTCGGGCCCTGGTAGCGCTTTCTGACCAAGCGCCGATCGACGCGGCGCACCTTCGCTGTCGAACCTGCTGGGCTGCAGCGAGCACCTGCCGCACATCGCGCCGATATCCTCTTCCGCTTCCACTCCTCCTGTCCAACGCCACACTACGATAGCCCATGGCAGCAAACGCATACCCCAGCACTCCCCTCGTTGAGGAGTTCACGGGTGGAGACAGCCATGACATTCTTGTCCAGGTCAAGGAGGCGTACGAGCATGATATCGCGCGCGTCCGAGAATTTGTCTTCGATGCTGCCGTTGCGGTCGGAACGGCGTCATGTAATCACGACGAGCCGCCAGCGGCCTTACCAACAGGATTGACGCGCGATCAGCGCGCCCAAGCCGCCAAGGAGCACCCTGGACTCTGTGGAGTCTACCATGCGGTGGCGATTGCTGGCGTCACCTACGCGGATGTGGCCGCTACTGCGGAGAGGCGTGGTGTTGGCGTCACGTCCAATGTCTTCCGCAATCAGGTAAGCATACATAGCAGCAAACGCGGATACGGGCATCACTGCTGATGCATAGGGCACGATACTGCTACGTCTTCTAGTCCATACTGGTATGGGTCAGGTTTGGGTTGTAAAGTGTAGACAGCCCTCGGTGCCCGTAGACGTGCCCAATTGGATGCGTTTACCATTGAGCGAAGCCCTACAACAGCAGTGACTTTACGTACACACAACATGCATGCACCTCTCTCTGCTTGCCTCGAAACTCAACCCACTCATCACTAGACTACTGCTGTACGCATTATTATACATACGTGTAGTCGAACAATCAGTCGCCGCGAACTGAGTGAGGGTTCGGGAGCAGAATGCAAGCACGCATCCTTACATCATCTTTCACACATCATGAGTAAACCATGCCATGCCCAAGAAAATCTTTGATTGCCGTGAAAGAGCGGCTGCTGTGTATTTTCTTGGAGGCGCCGTTATTCTGTAGTTTTTCTTGTGACAATACGACGTTACCGTGTTTTGCGGTAGGCGGGATGGTGCGCACTAACTTCCTCGCACCCCCGTTCCTCGTAACCACTCACGCCCCCAGTGTTGCTTCGACGCAGCAAAGAAGCTTGGTGCGGCTGGGATGGGCGTCCAACTCGCTCGCAAGGAGTGCTTTACACAAGCATGCAGGGCTGTTTTTCCAGGGAATGGCACGCCGGAGCCATGGGTTGAAACAGCATTCAGCACTGAAAATGCGTAGGGGTCGAAGCTTTCTTGCGCGAAAGGAGTGGTGCCTAACGTGCATAAAAAAGAATGTGTAGCAGGATAAGTTTGTGCAGTTGAATTAGAGATGCACCGGATAGGCCTGCCTCGCTTTTTGTCCCGTGCGGCTGGGAGTGGGGAGTGGGAGTGTCTAATCTCCTGGCGTTGCATAAGATTTTGGGTGAAGGAGGCGATCGATAAATTGGAGGAAAGGGGGGTGTTCGAAGGCGAAGAAACTGCCGATGACAAACGTGGTTCAATCTAAAAATTGCCCTCTCCCAAAATCTTATGCAACGCCAGGAGAGTAGACACTCCCACTCCCCACTCCCAGCCGCACGGGACAAAAAGCGAGGCAGGCCTATCCGGTGCATCTCTAATTCAACTGCACAAACTTATCCTGCTACACATTCTTTTTTATGCACGTTAGGCACCACTCCTTTCGCGCAAGAAAGCTTCGACCCCTACGCATTTTCAGTGCTGAATGCTGTTTCAACCCATGGCTCCGGCGTGCCATTCCCTGGAAAAACAGCCCTGCATGCTTGTGTAAAGCACTCCTTGCGAGCGAGTTGGACGCCCATCCCAGCCGCACCAAGCTTCTTTGCTGCGTCGAAGCAACACTGGGGGCGTGAGTGGTTACGAGGAACGGGGGTGCGAGGAAGTTAGTGCGCACCATCCCGCCTACCGCAAAACACGGTAACGTCGTATTGTCACAAGAAAAACTACAGAATAACGGCGCCTCCAAGAAAATACACAGCAGCCGCTCTTTCACGGCAATCAAAGATTTTCTTGGGCATGGCATGGTTTACTCATGATGTGTGAAAGATGATGTAAGGATGCGTGCTTGCATTCTGCTCCCGAACCCTCACTCAGTTCGCGGCGACTGATTGTTCGACTACACGTATGTATAATAATGCGTACAGCAGTAGTCTAGTGATGAGTGGGTTGAGTTTCGAGGCAAGCAGAGAGAGGTGCATGCATGTTGTGTGTACGTAAAGTCACTGCTGTTGTAGGGCTTCGCTCAATGGTAAACGCATCCAATTGGGCACGTCTACGGGCACCGAGGGCTGTCTACACTTTACAACCCAAACCTGACCCATACCAGTATGGACTAGAAGACGTAGCAGTATCGTGCCCTATGCATCAGCAGTGATGCCCGTATCCGCGTTTGCTGCTATGTATGCTTACCTGATTGCGGAAGACATTGGACGTGACGCCAACACCACGCCTCTCCGCAGTAGCGGCCACATCCGCGTAGGTGACGCCAGCAATCGCCACCGCATGGTAGACTCCACAGAGTCCAGGGTGCTCCTTGGCGGCTTGGGCGCGCTGATCGCGCGTCAATCCTGTTGGTAAGGCCGCTGGCGGCTCGTCGTGATTACATGACGCCGTTCCGACCGCAACGGCAGCATCGAAGACAAATTCTCGGACGCGCGCGATATCATGCTCGTACGCCTCCTTGACCTGGACAAGAATGTCATGGCTGTCTCCACCCGTGAACTCCTCAACGAGGGGAGTGCTGGGGTATGCGTTTGCTGCCATGGGCTATCGTAGTGTGGCGTTGGACAGGAGGAGTGGAAGCGGAAGAGGATATCGGCGCGATGTGCGGCAGGTGCTCGCTGCAGCCCAGCAGGTTCGACAGCGAAGGTGCGCCGCGTCGATCGGCGCTTGGTCAGAAAGCGCTACCAGGGCCCGACTCGAAGAAGCACCTTGCCCACCGATGAAAGGAGGCTCCGTGCAACGTAGGGCTTTGGTTTGAAGGTCTCGCGTTCCCTCTAGAGGAATATCTTGAATGCCTCATTTTCCTCCTTTTCGTGCCCCGTTTACCACGCTTGGGCCAGTTGTTGTCTAAAAGCGCCATCAAATGTCCCCTCGATATTCGGGGACATTTGATAGGGCTTTTAGACTTGAGTCGGCTCCGGCGGGCGCTGTTCTCTCCCTTGCACACCGGCCACGGACTGTCCATCATTGCCCAATCAGAGGGCGGTTCTTTTTCTTTTTTTTTTTATCTTTTTCGCGATAATTTCTCAGCCCTGATTTTTAGGTGCGTGGTAATGGTGAGCTCGGTCACACAAAAGCAATGACAGTGGCAGAGCTTCATAGAAGTATACTCGAAGCCTCGAACACGCTACGGGCTCGTTGTGGCGTCCGAATCTGTCCAGAGCGACAGTTTTTCAGGAGTGAGAGCGAAAATACCGTGACCACACCCAGCATTGTAACCGTTTTCTGCAAGCACCGCACAGGAGGAAGGTGGAGAATTCCTGCATACTGCAGTGTACCGAAAGGTGTAGACTGACGACCAGAATCGAGGTGACTAAAGCAAGTTTCCACAGGAAAGAGGTCCCCTGTCTATCCCAAAATGGTATCCGACAAGACGTCCGTTTTCCTCCTGAAAGAGTCTTGAGCTCTCTCCCCCCTAGTTGCAAATACAATCCTGAAATCGGTTGCATCTTTCGTCCGTCGTCGAAGTCGTTGGTTGGCATTCAAGCCTTCAAGAAAGACTCAAATCACCTCCAAGCGAGATACTGCAATACCGTCGTCTCGTTTGGGGCGGTTGGACAACGTTTGGCCCAAGGCAATAAACTGGGTGTGCGGGCGTGCGCATGGGGAGTGGGGTACGGAGTGAGGTAAGAAACACCACGAGGCGTCCCAAGAGCCGATCATTAGACACCTCGTCGGGTCATTGGGAGGGTCGGGCGAGCACCAACCAGAGGACATCAGGTTGATGATGCAGAGTCTCCATCCACTATCTCTCTCGTAAAAACATCGGCACTCCAATTTCCGGCCACGTGTTACATCCGCATCGAAGAAACCGCCAACACACCCTTCAACAGAAGAGCGAATATGGACCGCTTAGACCGCAATCTCATAAATGGCAATAGTTCCATTTTCCCCAAACAACAGGTATGTTCGATTCTGCCTATGCTATATCTATACTAACAGCTTCAACGGGGTCATGAAGCCCCAGCCTCAACCCCAACGTCCTCAAGCAATCTTCGCGCAACCTCTCCCGTTAGCTCGGGGTCCGCCTTGCCCCCAGACAAGGCTACCGCCTGTCCCACGAAGAAACCCTGCAGCTTGGTCTTGCCCGAGCGGAACTGTTCCACCTTGTCCGCGTTGGCCTTCATCACATCACTGTCAGATAAAAGCAAACCGAAAAGTCGAGGAAGCGAAACGTGTTCGTACAGGTCATGTGCTGCAGAAATCGAGTCATGCACCGAATCCCACGCGGGGTTGTGTACGACGTCTCACAGCCACACCACACGGGATGCCCGCACAAATGCACGGGGAACCGGTAAAGCACGGTATGTAGCTCTCGTGCCATGGCGGAGCAGGGAGCGTACATCCACGAGGTAATGTGCCCCCTGAACACGTGAAACACTTGGCGATCCGCTTCAAAAGAGGATCTGACGGAAAAGAAACGCGCCGAAAGTCCAAACAAACGCCTCTCTATTGTCGCATGCATGATGCTGATGTGGCAGGACCGTTGACTACACGACACATGCCCCCACCATTCGTCCAAAGAGTGCTTGTAACTCAGCTTTGCTGGCGAGCCAAAAGCAACACACACGAAAAAAAACACGCCTTTCGTCTCTCACCGCACGAAACCCTCGATCTCAGCAGGATCATTGATGGCTTGCATCCCCCTCTCCTCCACAAGCTCCTCCACGCCCCCCTCCCACTCGCCTCCCAGCAGCTCTGGCAGCAACTCCTTGGCGATGCGGCCCGAGATTTTTCTCTCCCTGATGAGACCCACCAGCTCGGCGAGGCCGGACGGTGTCAGCCCGATCTCCCTGATTCCTTTCTTTTTGCTGAGGTACGGGGAGACAAACCCAAACAAAACGACGCAAAGGTCAGCAAGAAAGGGTGGACGCGTAAAGGTGTGTGAGTCAAGGTAGGTCTCGAGCTGACATGGCATGTAGGTGGCACAACAATGTGAGGGAGAGAAGAACGTAGCGCAAAACCTCCAAAATGTCATTAAATGAGTGCTGCTTTGTCGGAGAGGGCCAAGATATTCTACGTCACGGAGGTGGCCGTGAGGAAGCACGGGGGGGGGGGGAGGGATTCGTGACATGAGCAAAACACAAACGTTGGCGAATATCGGCTGGAATCCTGAACATGTCCCTTAAACAAAGTCTACAAGGGACGGACATGCACAAACAAGCCCGACTCAATTCTCGCCAATACCAAACAAGGTGGTTTGTAAAAGATCTCGTCGAGAGGTAGATTTCCCTGCGCTTGTCGGATCTAGATAGCACCCTCTGACCCTGTTGGATGTGCAGCGAGGCGACCATAAAACGTTTTTCGCACACCTGGTGCGTTCGTCCGTACTTTTGCGGAACACAAGACAAAGGATAGCTCAAGCACAACGGTACAGAACTGCTGCAGCCACCCCACGCCATATCGAGGAAACATCTCTCCACCTGTTGAGGTACCCGGCGATGTCACCGATGAGCCACTTGCACGCCTCCCCGGGGTCGGACCCCGCCCCCACCGCCTCCTCGAAGTACAGCGCCACGGACTGGTCGTCCGATAGAGCAGAAGCGTCTTCTTCCGACAGTCCGAGCTCCGACTGGTACCGTTCCCTCTTTCCGGCTGTCGAGAAGTGGTTGGAGAGCACATGTCCCGCACCCCCAAAATACCCGCATATCGGACATGGCGAGCATGGGTGTGGTAGCGAACAGGGAGTGGAGCGTTGTGGGTTGGGTGGGTGGGCGGCCGAACTCTTCCGTTGTTTGCATTTACCTCTTTATCACCTTGCACAATGGATCACGCGTCCCGTTTGGCCGTACCGACACAGGGCCATCTTGAGAACACTCCCATTGTCATGGGACCCCTTTCACACTTCACGTTTGCCACACTCCGTGCAAAATCAAACAAAACATGCCATCCGCCCGTTCCGGCATGGATACACTTGTGTCTACCAGACCTAATTCCCTTCCCTTCCTACCACTCGGTGCGCAAAACAAACGGAGGAGTGAGGGGGGGGTGCAGTGTTGAAGATTCGAGTCCACACAGGCACGACGCTTGAACCACCGTACAGACCGGCATAGACCTCAAAACTATGAAGACAACGCCCATGTGGCCACGCCCATCTGGCCCCGTTTTCCCATGAACGCGCCCGCTCAACACCCGTTGCTACGCTTGTGTGAGGCTAGGAAAAGGACGTACCGGGCAACTCGCACAGCTCGGAACGCCATCTCTGTAGCAACTCCGCCGGCAGTGCAAGCGGTGGGATGTCTGGCTCGGGGAAGTAGCGGTAGTCCGCTTCGCCTGGAGGACCACAAGTTGACCCACACGAAGGGGCGTGGGTTCCGTGTGGAGGGGGGGGTGCGTACGGGGTGGGGGGATGGCGCTGTTCGAAGTACCGAACGTCGGTACTCGTGTCTCGACTGTAGAGCGTCAACGTTCGTGAGCGGCTGCAGTGGTTGTTCCACAGCTCTTGGAGTCGTTCAATCGTGCGCGCAAACGCTAGCAGGCGAAGGCTCAGCTTTAAGAGGCTATCATATTGCACGAGACGGCATTGGTGACAGTTTCCGAGACGATACTTGTGCGGAGCGACACCAGCGCGAATAAGAAGGCCACTAAAAGTCTGGTCTACTGCTTTCGACCTAGAAACTTATGTGGCCTTTGGATATTGTATTACATGGCATAAGGTGGTCTATGACGCTTGCCGAAAATATGCAACAGGTTTTCTCACCAAGGCTCACAACGAGCACTCTTGAGTACTGTCGGTGATGCTTGCTGCAGCAAAGTGTCAGGCTGGCTTACCTTCCTTGACGCGCATGATCTGGGTTGCCTTCTTCTTCTCGTCCCACAGTCTCGTCTCCTGCCGGATGACCTCATCTGTCTCGTAACACCTGTGACAAAAAAAAAGTTAGTACCGAGGGGGAAACAAGAGCGCAGGTTGTATAGCCAGACTCAACCTAGGAGTTTACATCTCCACGAACGTAAGCCGCTTTACACCATGGTACGAAGAACTAGCAACGGCTGCCTCAAGCTTGACACCCCTACGCTGAGCACGCTGTATATCGAACAGCTACAGTAGTGCAAAAGGAGAGCAGCTTGTAGTCGAGACTATGTCAGGCTGACCCATCACAACGGAGCTCTTCGAAGTTGGGCAGCACCCGCTAAAAAACGCTCAGCTCGCTAGCTCAAGACAGCAACGGAAACGCGGGAAAACAATGCGGAGGCGAGAGCGGATACAGGCCGGCATGTCTTTTGCGGAGTGGTATCGAGAGTAAAAATATTGTCGTCACCATCTATGCGGAGCCGAAACAGACATAGGTACCTGGACTGCCTCACGATCTCAAAGTCCACCGACTCTTGCACCGCTCGGAAGGAGTTGAGGTTCTTGAGCTCCACCTGCACAACAACGAACACGGGGTGGTAGCGATCGCGAAATATATCTCCAACACGCGCACGTGGTGCAGCAAGCAAGCCAAACAACGACCAACGAAAGTCAGCTTCGCCACAATGCCAAAGCCCTTCCCACTTCCGCTGCGTCCCATCTACGAGCTTGCTTGAGTTGCCTGAAAGCGCGATTTCCTCCACAAGAACTGAATGGCGTCAACAACCACTGCTGCTACGGAGCTACGGCGTCTCAACTTCCCTTCGAACTATCCCACCCAACCCACCGCCCCCATCCCTCCCTTGCCGACAGAGGGAATTCCGTTTTTCGCAGCATTGCTGTGGTAATCGCTTCCAACAGCAGCTTGCTCGCTGAGGCCCTCCGACGAATGTGCACACACCATATCGCAAGACGCGCGTGCATGCTCTGCGTTCTATTGCACGGGAACAAGTTACCTTGGTATTGAGGCATTTTTCGCCCTTGGGCCTGAGGCTAACGTTCACGTCGAGCCGCATGGACCCCTCCGCCATGTTTCCGTCCGACACGCCCAGATACCGCAGCACCTGGCGCAGTATAACGTCGAAGAGACAAGTTGGAGGAGCAAACGAGCACAGGCTCAGCAGGAAGTTTGGAGACATCTGCAGTGATACCGGTTGACACATCTGCAGTGATACTGGTGGGTATCATGAGGTACTGAAGCACCTGCACCCTCACCGTGATGTAGGCAACGGGAGCAACTAATCGTGTTTTCTCGTTAGTTGGAGGTCATATACGGTGGTGCGGTAGGGCTGATTCCGAGGCTGGAGGGTTAACCTACACGACCTATCGTAGTCCGTAACGTACACTGGGAGCACTTCCACATCCGAGTGCGAGACTGACAAACACAATCCAATCCAAAGTGAGCATTCCAACCAAATTTCCATGCACGCAAAGTTGGCGTGTATGAAACACCGCCAGGGTTTCCCGCGTCTAGACGACGACATAACTCCAAGTCTAGGTACATAGGGGGGCTCACCCTCTGAAGCTCTCGCCCGTATTCGGCGGCCTCGATCCCGGACCTCATGTCGGGCTCGCTCACGATCTCGGCGAGAGGGGTGCCGGCGCGGTTGAAGTCGACGAGGGAGTGCGTGGAGCCTGCGAGGCTTTCTGCCCCCTGGTGGTTCATCTTCGCCGAGTCTTCCTCCATGTGCAGACGCGTGACGCCCACCTTTGTGTCGGGATGAAGCAAAAGAACGAAATGCCATCACTTTGAGCGTCACAACTAGGAATACTGGTATCCACTGCTTGTTGACTGACTGCTGTGGTTACCGTTACCCATGCACTTCACTGCCGGCGCAAGCGTGTAATCCTGGTCCGCTTCGAAGCACAAACTCCATCCAAGTCTTTGGCACGTGTCCTTCCACACCTTCTTTCCAGAAGGCAGCACGATCTCCCCGTGCTCGGCGATCGGCCTGTCGTACTGGGTGATCTGGTAGTTCTTCGGGGTGTCGGGATAGAAATAGTTCTGAGGCGGGGAGGGACGATATGGGACGGGGCGTGGCGAAGGGTAAGGAGGTAACGGGAGGTTAAAACACGGAGGCGTTTTTTCCGCTCTATTTACTTCAAAATATTTGGAAGTCATAAAAAAATGTGGAAGCCAGTAAGGCCCAGAAAAACTGGAAAGGTCGCTTGCACACGTTGTTGGAAAGTTTCAAATTCTTTCGCGTCCGAACTCGCTTCACAAAATTTCCGTAAGCTTGAAACTTCCAAACATTTGGGGAAAATGGGGTCTCTTTTAAACGCCCCGAACGGTTCCGTACGAGAGGCAGCAATGCGGCAAGCGTTTCTACCATGTTTCTGGGGTCACGGCACGAGACATCCGCTGGCACAACGCCGGCTTTGAGCGCGGACCTTGCGATCCCACTTGGTTTCTGCGGCGATGGTGCAACCGAGAGCCATGCCGGCCTTCGCGGATAGCTCCACGACTCGCGCATTCGGCACCGGCAGGGAGCCCGGCTCGCCGAGGCAGACGGGACAGACGTTCGTGTTGGGGCTGTCGGGGCTGTACAGGGTGCTGCAGGAGCAGTACGCCTGCGAGGGAAGGGAAAGCGGGGGGTGGAGAGGGACGGAGAGAAAAGGGGTCGGGGGAGAACGAGGTAGGCGCCGGGACAATGCTGCATGAGTCTGACGGGCTTCTGTGGGTATGATCCAAACCGTCGAGAGAGGAGCGTCTGGTGGCAATGCTGCGCCTATCCTGGACGCCTAAAAAAAAAAGGCAGTGATGATGGCAGCCGAATAAAACAATGAAGTAGAAAGCAAGGAAGGAGGTGTACCTTCGTGCTCGACGAGATCTGCGCGTGTATCTCGATTCCGATGACAGGCTCCCACTTCTCTAGTGCAGCCTGCAGAGCGGGGTTCACTTTTCCCCTGCCCTTTTTGTTCCCTTTGGACTTGCGTCCACCGCCACCTCCCTTCATGCAGAGCTGCCCTTCTTTTGCTGATGACTGGCTCGTACCGCTTTGTCTTACCGCAGCGCCCTGTTAGGACGTGAAAAGTTCAAGTGAAGCGGAAAATAGAGGAGGTTAACCGCTGCACAGACAGATCAAGACCGGCAGGCGGCGAGTGGGAAACGTGGAGTCGGGAGAGAGACGGAGAGAGAGTATTGAGAAGGTACAGGGTAGTTAGGGAGGATCGAAAGCGTCGTTGATACCAACACCAACACCAACACCAGAAGTAGAGATTGGCCAACTGCTGTCGTTTGCTTCTATGCATCTATAGGCTCAACGCGAGAAACTACCCAACAGGAGTAAGTTGGAGCGCCCGTGCTGGGCGTACAGACCTTATCTGTAGACACGCCGCAGCATTCGCCAAGGAGGTACTGCAAGCTCCAGGCTACAAAATGTGCGATTGTGCCTTGTAATCAGTATCTGTGCTTCGACTTCACCAATAGGTATCTTCTGTTTATGTATATGTCTACTAGACTGTTGCTCCTAGTGCTGGTTGCTGGCAGGACATGTGTGGTAGATGCTGGTACACGTACACCGCGATGTTGACGCTGCGCGTGCACAGCAAGCGGATTGCAGCATCCACGCCGCTCGAGGAAGCCCTCCCGCAAGCTAAAATTACGGGAGTGATGGGGTAAAAGTGTCAATTGTGCTCGAATCTTCGGTTGCACTACTGCGCAGCAATAACACTCCAAGCTCGGTGTCGCTGCGCCTTGGCTCATGTTTATCATGCGACACACCCGCGAGCGTTGCTCTTTACCCACCTCACGAGAGCAGAACTCTGTCACATCTCGCGCAGATCTCGCCGCAAGCGCGTTGTGCAAGAACGCTGACGTGTCCCTCCCTCCAACAAACACGCACATGAGCACCAGCACCTTCACCATGGGAGACATCTGTGCGAAGGCGACCGCGCACTGCACGGTGCTGGGTGCTGCGCGAGAGACCTAGGACCGGACATGTTCACGAAGGGTGCCCGCAGAATGGAAATATCCGCGGATACCTGCCCCAGCACGCGATGCCCGGCTGAATCATTGGGGAGTTTGGAACAGGGAGGCGGTACATGTAACTGAACGTGTGGCATGTCATACGACAACCCGACCAATACGACGAACACGCTCTACGCCCGTCAAGCAAGAGAGACTAATTGGGCTGGCGAGATGGCTCAAAGAGGGCGAGGATGCTTAGAAGTAAGCGAAACAAGGCTTGGAACGGTGTTTTTGAAAGAGAAGAGAGAAAAAGCTGGCGCATCTTGCTCGGGCGTTCTTTGAAAATGTTCGGCACAGCAGACTATAGTACATCAGTGTACAGCAGTAGTAAAGTTCCCTGTTTAGTGCCGGGTAGAGGTCCCTAGCAGTAGAGGTCCCTGTTGAATGCCGGGTAGAGGTCCCTGTTTAGTGCCGGTGCCCCGTAAGTGCCGGTGTTTTCGACGAACACACACTGAATGTCCAAGTCATTCTCAATACTTCGAGTAGTGCCGGGTCCGGCAAAGTGCCTGTGAATGTTCAATTCGGGGCACACACCGGCACTAAACAGGGACCTCTACTGTTTTGTTCACTTAGTATTGTAGTGATTTCTGTGGCCTGCAGTACGCGAGTAGGCCTGCCTAGATCGGAACAGTACCGCATCTCCACATAAACTCTCGGAAGAGAAACTCATGGCGCGAGGTACCCACGTCCTCGAATTTCAAAAGATAACATAAAACGAGTAGGCTTTTGCTGCTGGTTCCTTGCAGTACACCACGCCCTCCTTGGAGAAAATATACGTTCGCATCGCCAGCCTTCCCGAAATCGGCAAATTACTTTCGGAAACCAATTTCGAAACCAATTTCTGAGGAGTTTCTCTTTCGCTTAACACTCATCGGCATCCGAGCTGGTACTTTGTACGCCTTCGTGTTTCTCATTGTACCTCCAAATATGATTCGGACGCGTCTTTCATGTGACACAACATGCCTGCGCAGATTCGAGACTCGTCCAACCCGTTCTTCACTACCACGAACTCTAGGATTGGCAATTCGGCCTGCCAAAAGCACGAATACGATGCACCACCGGTGAGATTGCTTGAAACATTATGTCGTACTATCCCGTGTCTTAGTCTACAGGTGCTTCGTTGAAGCTTCGCAACCTATGTATCAGTACATGTTTTACCATGCGCAGGCATTTCAACTAATGCAGTGGTATTGTATCCGTTGACTTTGGCAGCCTGAAGCCTTCTGGTGTAATTTTTCAATTCTGTCGCCATTTGCACCGGCCGCGTCTATGTCGAAAAAAACTCTCTAAATGGCAGGTTTTCCGGAAAGTCCCAAAGGTCGACCGAGTGGCCGCTGGCATCGACTGGAGTTTCATGTACACTAGGGTGAGCGAACGTCGGAAGCCTCTTGAAGGAAGAGCCATCTGAAGACCGGCCCGATATGTATCCGTTCTTTGGTACTTTGTACTCGTTCCATCTACGAGCCTCCTCTCAAAACCACTGCGACAAGAACTCCAACGTATCTTTGATACACCAGGTTTGGATGCGCGAAACATGATCCCGATCTAGGGACAACGCGGGAAACCCCTGCTTCCAATAGCTCCCGAAATCATCTCCATGTCGCGGGCTCCCAGCCACCGATTTTTACTCGACGAATCGGTCTTGAGGACCAGCCTCACTCTGGCTATTCCAGAAAGCTGGGCAAGGCCGCCAAACTACATTGTCTCCCAACACGAAAGCCTGTCTGCCTATGTTGGTTGCGTAGTGCAAGAAAATACTCCAAGCCTTCGTCGTTACTTCAAGCGAGAGGGCCAAACATGTCCCAAGAGGGGTTACCCCGCCGCGGCATTCCATCAGCTCTCCGAAGAGAACTAGCTCAGAATTAGATTTTGTCTACTGAACTAGCTCCGCAACCGTACACGATGCAAGAACTCCACCGAATTCGTACCCTTTGCTGCAACGGAGTCGCAGCACCACCAGCCCGTTTACCTTGGTACCGAACAGATTTTGTCTACTGAACTAGCTCAGCAACCACACACGATGCAAGAACTCCACCGCAGTTCGTACCCATTGCTGCAACGGAGCAGCACCACCAGCCCGTTTACCTTGGTACCGCAACCAAAATGATCTGCAGGAGAGCGACAGGATCGGCACGGGCGTTCCCCCGAGCGACAGCAAGTTGGGGGCAGTCGTGGGCCGCCGCGAGTCGCTGGGTCAAAGGGCTAGAGAAAAGGGACTCGGGAAGCACCCCGTCATGTACGAGAGAGAGGAGGAAACCGGGGTCCCTCTACGTGACGCGACATGTTTTGACTTGAAAGTAAGCAACAATCGTTCAACAGCGGAGAACTCCAGCAACCCTCATCCCGCGCTGCCAATTAGGATGCACCTATTTTGATGAACGAGGCGGCACGCCCGGAGCGCCCCTCTTGGTCTACTCATCGTGTTCCCTTGCCATGAACCTTGTATGCCGATGGTACGGGCTGTTCGGGAACCTGGCCCTCGCGATTTACTCCAAGGAAGTTACCATTGATGTGCCCGAGCAATCACATCTGGGCAACACCAGACATGACAGCTGGCCTCTTTGCGCAACCGCATTGCCCGTCGCCCCTCTCAAAATAAGAACCGTGTCCCCGAGGACAAGGACGCTCGTGACGAACTTCTCAAGAACTTCAAGCACACCAGCAAGAAGGAGAACCCCCTGTATTCCACGACGAACAACGATATTGGCATCAAGCGGCCGACCGGGGCGACCTTCACCTTCGAAAGACGTGCACGACAGCAAGGGTTCAGGTGCGTCGCCGCTCGTTATTATCAGGATCGCCGTCGAGATCTTTCCGACATTCGTTTTCCCGCCTTGGTGGGCGGCCCCGGTACTGGCGGTAAATTCCGGCATACTCGGAGTATATGGTATGTAGTACCGTCTAAATACAAAAGCCGCTTACCCCCGAAAAACTACCGCCGTACTGCCTGTGTCAGCCCAAAAATACGGTACCGGCGACAACCGTGGGTATTGTGGTGATCCCCATGTTTCGTGACTGTAGTTGCGCATCCCAAACGGGCTACGAATTCCGTGCGGGTGCTTCTCTTCAGGGCCGTCAGTTCTTGCGCCTGAAAGAAGACCTGTGTGATGCGCAGAGGACTGCTGCCCGCTTGCTGCGCAGCAACCTGGAGATTATTTACAACGAACAATGTATCACAATACTTGAATAGTACCCGGCCATGCACTTGATGGTACTTGTCATCGTGGGTGATTCCCGCTTTGGTCCGTACCACGAACTTACTCCCACAATGCGCTTTTTGTTGTACGTTCTTTGCTTCCGAAATCAGCAACTCTTTCAACGGCCTGAAGTTCAGAGACATGGGGCTGAACACGAACGTCACGCGATCTAACATCCACGACGATCTGAACCCCCAGTTCATGTGAAGCACACTCGCCCATTGAGACTACACAAAAGAAGCATCCAGCTTGGCGGCTGAAGCTACTACACGGGAGCCAGACGCGCATGGATACTTTTGGGGGCACGAGCGTGTTTGGTGTATTGTTTCCGACCATATAGTCGGAGCAATGAGTGGCAAGATATGCGTAGAGGCGGGTATCCATTGTTGGGCAAAAACTGCCCGTAGTAGACTTAAAACACGTTGCCGTTGACGGTCTTCTGTTCGAGCCCCACGCGTTGGATTCTTGTGTTCCTTGTTTTGAGTGTAGGGCGATGTCCGACGGCTCGTGGTGCACCACCGATCGATGTTCTTTTGAGGTGGTTGATAGTGGGGCCCCGCACCGGATACGAAGAAGGCGACAACGATCAAGAAAATCACAACCCGCGCTCATTGCGGCGCCGGTAGATGTTCCGAAAGACAGAAGAGCACACGCTAAGGCCCCGCGTTTGTTCGTGATGCCTCTCCACCCCGCTGGGCTGGGAACCAGAACGGCCAACCCTGTAAAAACCAGTAAGAGCGTAGCCAGCTACGCGCCGCGGAAACCTGAATCTTACCATACGCAAAATAAGAAAACAAAACGATGACGAAACTCACTCTCGGCACGACCATGACCATCGAACACCCGATCCGGTTAGACCACGAGCGGATTCTCCCTGATCGAACGTAACAGCTTGCGGCTCTTACAATACTCCACGTGGCTATAGATAGCGGGATGCAAGTGTACAACACCAGGCCGATTGCTGCCCCGACGCGATAGTCCCCCTCGAACGTCGAAGCCGCCACGATCTGCGCGGCCTCGCTAGTCAGGAGAGTGACACACAAGACGAACAGGAGTACGGCGGCCAGGACGAAGCAGATGGAAAATCCCCACAGCTGGTTCAAGGGAGACCCCAACATCTCGCGGCCGATGCACATGATGCGGTCCTCGCCAAGGATTCCCACCAACAGTACCTATGGGTCGTGTGGTACAGGGTTTAAACGCCCAGAGTTGAATAAGTACGTTGACTGCACTCGTGTGTTGATGTGGGTCCTCACTGATGCCGTTCCTCCCTTTCTTCACGCTCGCGGCGTGCCCTTCATCAGACCTCGTTTCTTTTTCCGATCGGCCGGGTTTGCAACAACCAAGGCACGAATCGCCACCATGTACTCAGCCTCCTAAATACGTAAAAAGGAAGAACACGACATACATATCTCGACGCGTCTAGCCACATGCTTCGTGTCAGGTATTGTTTGGGTGGGTTGAAGTTGGGCGCTTGCTTTCTCTGGTACGGAACGCCTTTGAACATCCACCCGAACAGTGTGACAGACACGTGACTGCTCTCTAGCCCGCCAACCTCTTGACACTCGTCGTCTCTCCATCCCGAGTACAATATGAGTGCTTTCACGTACAGTATCCTGAGCCTGCTTCACACCTTCGTGGGCTTGCGGTTTGTCTCGTCGGCTGTGTTCTCGCCCAAAAGGAGGATGCAATCGAAGCGAACACCGACTGCACCTTGTTCGAAGGGTGGATCCGCCGCGCCCTCTCTGTGGTAGCGATACGCCCGCACGGCATGTGTACCTTGCGGAGGTTTCTTCGGGACGGCGTTGACCATCTTCGAAAACTTGGCCCTTCGCCCGTCCGGCGTCTGGCAGTTCGACAAGGAGTACGGCGGTCGCATCGGAGAGGAAAGGGCGGGATTTGAGCCGGCCACGAAAGCCAAAAGCGAGCAAAATAGTACTGCACGGCCCCGCAAATGAAAACTGTTTTTTCTGGAAACAGAGACCTGAACTTCAACGAAAAATAAAGAAAGTTACCGTTAACAGACACAGCTCAGCGGTGGGTGCTGCACGGAAACTCTACACGTCTATTCCTGCTCGGCTGCGGCGACGGAATGCGGGAGCAGTTGGGGAAAGTGGAGGCGTACGACCCGGCTAGAAACATGGGCAGTCCTTGTGTTAGTCCCTTGGTCTCTTCATATATTGCGTTCGTCACTGAGGAACAGCACAAGGTTGGGGTGCCCATGAAACAGGCGGTGCCAAAGTTGTGCACATGCTGGAGCAGCTTCTGCAGAGTATGCGAATGCGAGTGGAACTCGACGGTTCGCCGGGAGCGTCTATCGCTATCACGCGAGACATCGCGCTCTACGGTCTGGCGGTCCACACCCTGCGGTGCGGTTTCGACTTGTCGTTCGCCAAGGGCGCCCAGGCAATGCGGCTGCCGCGCCAGCGGGCTTGGTCGTTAACTTCTTGTTAGCAAGTGCTTGCGATCGTCCACTGACGCAGTAGTCGTCCCTCCCGACACCGCGAATCGCACGAATCGTGCGGTTCTCGTCGTCACAGAGTACATTGCGGCCGCCCACGAGGTGGGATGGGACCTACAGGCTGGGCGCCTGTTTCCGGAGGTCAACTCCGAGACGGCAACCGAAGGGCGTTGCAGCTCACGGCTCCCCGCATAACGGCCGAAATATGCATGTGACGCGGCCAATAGATTTACGTAGAGTGTGTCTCCTTGCCCGAAAGTGTGAGATGAGGTGAATCCCCTACCTCTCGTAATTTTATGGTTCGGGAAACCAAACGCGTGTCTGAATTGCGGATGTGTCCGAAATACATACATCATAATGTACACATTGCGTACATTCCAACTATCAGGCGTAGGTCGATAGCTCGTGGTATGAATTCGGCACTGAGCGCAACCATTGAATGATGATTTCACCCGCACTGCACATGCTTACACACCACGAAAGAAAACAAGAGTGCAAGATACAATACGTAAACCAATACACTACTACGTAGGGCAGACACCTTCCGCAAGCTGGTGCTGATAGTGTGGCAATGAAATAAAGCGCGCAGGGTAGTTTTGTGTGGATGTTCACCCACCTACTCTAGCGTCAGTCCCTACTCTGGCGTCAGTCGATAAACATTGTAATGCTTGCTTGATCTCCCACGCTTGCTTCAATTGTCGTTCATTGCCACATTTCCTTCTGCGATGCACGTCTGAAATGTTCATTGCGACGAGGGTTCAGCTACAGTACCCCTTTCTTCGTTGACTCTACATCGTCGGAATATTTATTTTTGGATCACACCGACGAAGAAATCGTTGTCTGTTGGAAGACTGCGCAAGATTGTGCGCTTCAAAGGATGCATGTGTACCCCGCCACAGCTATTTCGCGACTCGTCCCAAGCGTATTCCAACCTTCAATAAACACGATTCCTTTCCGAAAATCTTCACGGGTCCTTCCGAAAGCAAGATAACCAGCCAGTCGCGCGAGAAGGGCATGTACGTAGGAATCGCTCAGGAATACCGGGAGTCTGAAATATATGATGACTCAACCAAAGTTTGAACGGTGATTTAACTCTTGACGCAAGAACAGATACTACAAGTCTTTGCACCTCGTCCGGAGCAAAACTGTCGAACGCAGCCGACACATCGACCACCCCCCCAGACGAGGCTAGCAAAATTGCGGCATTCAGGCTTTTCGCCCCGCCTCGATATGACAGGACCATTCCCTGCAGCTGCCATCCCAGATCTAAGATTGGACCCTTCGACAAGACTCTCGTGTTCCACGAATCTGAGTTATAACAGCCATGCGATCATCGAAACGGGACTACACGCTTTCTCCAAGAGTGCCAGATTTCACCCCAAACGTGCACTCCCCTATGGTAGCATCAGTCACAACGCGCTCACCATTTTTTCCGCGCAGAGGGGAGTGCGGGAGAGGCGTTCAACCGAGGGTCATACGTGTTGGAAGTACTTCGTTTCCAATCTGACAATTGCAGATGGATATATCCACGTCGCTACAATGTCGTGAGGAACATGCAGTGGGAAATAATGGAATATCGCGGAAGTCACGGAATCTGTTCACGAGGATCTAGGAAAGAAAATAATATTTGAATGCCTCTGTGAGCTTGCACTGCAAGCAGCGTCCACGAGGTTCCTACATGGAAATTCGTTCTCCCACTCGACGCTGAAACGCGGGGATCTTGTTCTGTCATACTTTAAGTCAAATTGGTTGTTTATTGTTTTCTTTCGATTTGCATTTTTTAATATTTTCTACCGCCCGAGGGAAGAGAGAGATACCAAACTGGCAGAGAGCACGTTTCCCGCCGACATGTCCCAAAAATACTGTCTCTCTCTTCCCTCCAAACAGCAACTGAGAGTGCTCTCTCCTGCGGTGGAGGGAACCAATCTTACTGCACACAGTAGTCTCAGATGACCAAGTCCCTTAAATGGTACCCTACCATTTTCTTCGCCCCACATACATACAGCTACAAGTTCTACCGGAATCTTAAATCCGTCCTCTCCTTTCCCCCACCTTCGAAAGAAAAGGGGTGGGTGGGTGGGAAAAGACTCCACTTCCTGTCGGCTCCAGAGGCTGGCACACCACTAGAAGCCTTCTATGTGACCACCTCGCTAGTTGTCTCTGCGATACTCTCTCTCTGGCACGCTAAGACTCTGTGAACACAAGGCTTGAACAGAATGGTAACACATGCGACTCCTTCTCTCGACCGAGGGGGCCCCGCAGTACGCAATGCGTTCCGGGTACCCCAATATAAACAGTATGGCAATTCGAGTTGTTTCAATCAACCTCGGTTTGTTTTGTCTACGCCTTTGTCTACACCTTAAACAAACCTGCCCTTCCTTTTCTGTGCGGATTTGCGTTCTTCGACAACAAAAACGGGATTTCTGGGTCGTGACGTATTACACGTCTGGTTCACCGAGTGTCTCTATGAACAGAGCGGCTGGAGGTTTGGACTTGGAATTGCATCAGAGCCCCACACAAACTGGGCAAAACAAGTAGTCAGCTGCGCGCCATCAAGCCTCCATGGTACATAAAATTCAAGACCATGCCATATCTGAAACGACACTCGTGACGACACCTGACTACGTGCGGCTATTGATGACCCGATCCGATTCAGCCACCAGCGGACACTCCCTGATCGAACGTAGCAGTTTGCCGCTCTTGCGGCACTTCCACACGAAGAGAGATAGCGGGACGCAGGTGCACAACACCAGGCCGATAATTGCCCCGACGCGATGGTCCCCCTCGAACGTCCAAGCCGCCATGTTCTGGGCGGCCTCGTTAGTCAGGAGAGTGATACACATGATGAACAGGAGTGCGGCGGCCAGGACGAAGCAGAAGGAAGCGCAGCAGAAATCTGCAACGGAAGCCCCCAACACATCTTCGCCGACGCACGTGATGCGGTCCTCGCCAAGGATTCCCACCAACAGTACCTATGGGTCGTGTGGTACACGGTTGATGAATCAAGGAGCAGGCGTATTGATCTGGGCGTTTCGTTTTGTTCACGCCTTTGTGCGCACTCGCGGAGTGCCCTTCATGGCTTCACAGTTTGTGTCTGGACGTCTCTAGGTGCTGCACATGGCTCGCCTCACGGCGCGTTCGGCTAGGTTGAGGCTTGGCCAAATCCTATGGAGCACGCGTTCGAACATCTACCCGAGCACCGCTGTGACAGACATGAAACGGTCTTCTCGCCCTACACCGTCTTGGCACTCGTTGTCTGCGTGATGAGTTGAAAACCAATATTGCCTCCTTATGTAGTGCAACCATCTCAACCTGCTCTTCACCTTCGTAGGCGTGCGACCTGGCTCTTCCGTTCCCACGAGGAGGATGCAATCGAAGCGATGATCAACTGCAGCATCCCGTTCGACCGGCACATTGGGATGACCCAGTACGTGGCTGCGATAGAAGCTCCCACCGCTTCTACTTGCCTCAGGTTTCCTCGGCACGGCTCTCACCATCTTCGAAAACTCGGCCCTTAACCCGTCCGGCGTCTCGCAGCTTCATGCGGAGGATACCGGTCGCATCGGAAGGGAAGCGGCGGAGTTAGAGCCGGGCACAGGATCCAACAAGCGGTCAGAACCGTACAAGACGGGCCCGAGTTTTAGGAATACCCTGCTAAGGAACAGAGACTCAACTCTAGTTTCCAAGGAGCTTTACATTTTACGGAACACAGCTCAGCGGTGGACCAAATGCTAAACTCTACACGTCTATATGTGCTCGACGGTGGTGAAGAATATGAAATTAGGCCTGGACCCGACACTCCTTGATTGTGGGCCCGCACTGTAGTATCCGTGCCTAGCCCACATGGCTCAGATCTCGCACACAAAATGCCCACAAACCGGCGGGCGAGGGACGGATCGGCCCTAGGGTTGCGCTTGGTGTTGTGCAGGACGCTGAGCATTCTTTTCTCGATCCTGCGGCTTGCTTCGTGCATCTTCGGACGCCTAGTCGGCGGAGGAAGGTTGAACACAGCGCCGTCACGGGTGACGAAGGTGCCGTTGTAGGTGTAAGTGATCTTGGTGCCTCCTTTGCCGGTGCTCTTGACGGTCTTTGTACACGCAACCTATGTGTGGCACATGTGTTGCGATGGGTAAGCGCGGAAGAGGCTTGTCGGACTGTGCACCACGTGTCCACATGTTAGCTGCCGTTGTCATGGCAGCACCCCAAACGCGCGTCGGTTAGGTTTGATTGGCGAGATCGTCCACCCGCTTCGACGAACAGAAAAACGCCAATGTCAGACTTTGGAGAATAAAAACTATCAGTTTAACCCCCCAAACCCAACATACCAGACCATCAAAGCCGAAAACGCATGCCATCGTCCATACTAACCGGAAGTTGTGTCGACGAGTTGAACATATCCAAAAAAGCCATTAGCACAAGCGCGGTTTCATGTACTCTCACCTCTGCGCAAGCGACCTTCACGAGCCTTGAGGACTGCGGTTGTTCTATTGCAAGTTCCCGCAGGAGACCAGCCCTCGCCGACGGGGCGCAAAACCCCGAGGCCCACATGCAACAGAGGCTGATAAAGGCCACGATCACGCCCGGAATGATAAACGCCGCGTTTGTGTTCACGCAGAGGTCGTACTGCGACCGGCCCCAGCAGTCGGTGAGCGGAGCCTCGAAGTAGCCGGGGTACCCGCTGATGGTGTTGTTGCTGTTCCAGGCACCCCAAGAGTAGTCGTAGGACGGTTCCGCCACCGTCGACATTCGTTGGCATGATCCTGTGGAGGGGTCAAAGCTCCACGCCACGCAGGTAGAGGTGGTGCCCGATCCATCACCGTCGTCGCTGCCGCTGCCGCTGCAAAGAGCGCAGCAATCCGGCCAATCCAGCGGGGCGTCCAGCACCACGGGCTCTCCGTCGGGCGAGCCCTCGAGGCCGCCCCACCAAGCCTCACAGCGGTAGCCATCGTAGCACTCTTTCCAGGCGGCACCTAAGGCTTCCCATTCCGGAAGGGTGTTGTCTGTCTTGAAGCCCTCGGGGATGTATGGGCTTTCTCCTGGGCAGTCTGGCGGCGAGGTGACCTACGGAACGAGCCCGCGATTTAAACGCTTCAATGTCGGCTGGTGCAGGCTAGTTTCGTATTTCGTCGCGCCGTCAAGCACAGGATACTATGCTATATACCAGAGTCTAGGGTAGAGTCCACCGCTGCTACAGTATGGTCAATAACCGAAAACTCCAATTTTCCGTGAAAGTCTCAGATTCTTGGTGGATACCTGGAATTTCATGAATGTGGGCCCGTACGGTAGCATGCAGAGTCAATGTATAGGCAGGAACGTTTACGGGGTGGCGTAATAAGAGAAATTCAGGCCATCCTGGAGTGCCACTAAATGTTCGGTTTGCTTGCCCTTCTTGGGCCATCGAATGTTGGACAAGGGAACGTCTGTCTGGCCGTCAAATTCCAAGCACTTCAGCAAACAAATAACGGCAATGAATGCTTCACACTCGCCTTAATACAAACATGCAAGCCTCTGCCAAAAACACCATCCCTACACACCGACCAGCACGGCTCTTCATACATAGACGTCTTCAGGGCGTCCCGCTTGTCCGTAGTCCTTGTTTCTAACACTACAGGGCGCTAACCATTGTAGAACCAAACGTTAAACTGAACGCCCTATCGTAGGTGACACAAGATACCATACCCCCTGGACCGAGCGATAAACCTGCACTACTTCACAGTAGGAATGTGGCGGTGCCCAAAATGGCGGCGCTACAGAACCGTCCCGTGGAGAACTTTCCGAAAACGTTCCTCTATATTTATTATCCTCTTCGTCGTGGAGGATTACGCAAGTTTTGGTAACTAGTCCAGGGGGTGTAATATCGTTCTTCGCCTGTGGTACTCACGTAGCACCAAGTCCTCTCGTAGCCTCCACCCTCGAAGGTGTTCAGAGTGTAGTCAACGTGCGCACCACACCCAGTGAAAGAGTATCCCTGGTATCTGTCCACGCAGGGAAGGAAACGATAGCAACAGCAGCAGTAGCGGATCAACGCACGGTTACGGCCGGAAATGCTCGCCGATTTGTTCAAGGGGTTGGTACTCGGGGACGCCTTGACGAGACCGATATTTGTTGGTTCCCAACGTGAATCGGTAAGCGTGCCTCTAATAAGGTGACCCTGGCGTACATCTCGGCGGAAAATGTCAGACACGCGTCAAGTATCGGCATTCGTACTTTCCGTGCGTTTCATCCAACTGTCTCTTCCGCACTCTAGCAATAGTTAAACCCGAGGTTAACCCTGGTGGAAGAGCCCTTGCGCGTTGGGTTGCTCACCTTGTATCTGCCAAGCCTGACACTCCGTCGACAGAGCAAGTGCAGGGTGCAGTGATGCCAGTCATGGGGAGCAGCGTCCGCCAGCCGCCAGCCTCTTTGTGTCTGCTTCCTCGTGTGTTTTCTTAACTAGTGCTGACGTTTGCGGAGAAGGGAGGGGAACGGAGGCTGTGTGTCTGCTGCCTTCCGGAGCGTGGAGAAAACAGTTCATATGGCAGTGCCGAAAGCCGTCGAGTCTCGGGTGGGGTGACCTCAAGTCGCAATCCTATATTGTGGGGTCCCCCCCACTATATGGGGAAAACGATCGCAATGAACGAAGTGGTCGACGTCACAGCGGTATGCTATGTGTTGTGTGTTTAATGGCTTGGTTGACTGGAAAAACTAGCCCACAACCACCCGGTTGTTCGCGTTTACAATAGTTTCGTTCGCGTGCGTGGTTCGATTCGCGAAACGGTATCATGTCGCTACAAGCAAGGCCTTGACGCGCTCCTGCTGCCGTCGATCTGTGGCCCAGGTCAACAATAACCGTTGGTCGTCGCGCACACCAGCGGTGGAGATTTGTCTCCTCTACCAGCGCAACATGCATTCGATGCAACCTCAACACACCTTCTCTCAAACCAAGATAAAATAACCCAAAACTCTGATTTCAAGACAAGCAGGTGACACGCCGAACCCATGACTTTCGATACGTGCTCACAAAAATAGACTTTACCAGAGGGCACCACTGGGCAGCCACACACGTGGTAGCGCGTTCAGATTTTTCGCTGAGGCCGTGCCCGTGGAAGGCTGCAGCTGCGGCCCGAAAAGTCGGTGAACCTACGTCCAAACCATGCATACTCCACCGCAGAACTCGCAATCTCTTCTAACTGCGGGTTTACACCAGTCTTTCTTGCCTTGGACCGCAAACAGTTCGGGGGTTTGCGTTTGTGGTGGCACGCACAGCGGCGGGTCGTGGATGGTATGGACCTAGATTTGCGGACGATTCCGGCCGCAACTTCAACGTTCGACGACATGGCCCCAGCAACAGATCTGGGGAATGCCGGTGCCCGTTGTATGTCCTCAACTGGTTTTCCGTCCAACATGTTTCGTTGTTTTTATCGCAGAGAGCCGCCGTGTGGATTATTTTGTTCTGCATTCGTAAGGTATGTGGAGGTACTGCAGACTGCATGATATGCTAGAAAAGAAATCCCAACCGCTTCTCTCTGTAACCAATACTGTACCTACTGCTGGAAGAACTTTTCTGTAAAATAAACATGAATAAAAGACTACCCGTTCGGGATAAACCACAGTCGAACGGGATGGGTTTAAAGTCTTGACGGTGGGTGGGAGAACAACCGGCCGGATGTACCGGGCATATTTTGAGCCCTTTTAAGCCTAAACACTGATTTCTTTTTGACGGAGATGGAGATTTCGGTCTCTGATCAGTATCTTCAAATATGCGTTCTGGTGCAGCTGATATAGTCCATGGTCACAAGCCAACTGCCCAAATAGGGTTACACTTCCCTAGGATGAATATATATATATATTGTATGGAGACCCGAAAAAATCCTCCGAACGCGGTACAGCAGTAGCTAACAAAATCTGACCGGGAGACCATCAAACCCGGCCGAGAAGGAATCGAAAAGACAAAGAAAATAAAAAGTAACGCAGGAAACAGGAAACAGGAAGCAGAAAGGTCCCATCCAACGAGCAAAACAAGTCGAACAGGGAGAGAAGGGGGGGGTGGAGTGCATGCGCCGCCTTGGGGTTGCAACGGCGAAGCCAATCCTCACACGGCTATCCAAAAGCAGTTCGTGTGGTGGGTCATTCAAGGGTCGATCCACCCGAAGCTATCGTATTAAATAAATATCACAGGATGTCGTCGTCGCCTGACATTAAGACTTGATTATAGAGTGCCCCTCTACATGGGGACAGTTTTTTTTCCCCACGCAGCACGTGTTGCGACAGCATGCCATCCCTTGTCGTCACCACACGTCTGCATCAAGTTTCGTGCTGCGACAATGAGGCGTACTGACGTCCTGCGTGTGGTGCTCATGGCCTGCGATGTGTGCTCTTGCGGATGGTGTACGTATGGCTGTGGCGCTGTGGCCGGCTCCTACCGGCTGCCGGGTGCTGCGGTGAAATGATGATTCGATTTACAACGAGAACACTCCCGCTTCACACCGGGCAGCCACCAGTCAACATGTTTACGCCAACCTACTGTTATAAATATCAGTATCAACGACGAAGACCGCCGCTACAGGTATTCACAGGTGGACGTCCACCCCCCTTCCCCACAATGTCGGATGCCCTCGCCCTCTTGTGGAGGCCTTGACAAGGTCGAACACCTTGGAGAAGACAACCAAGGCCTTGAAATGGGAGAAATTGAGTTTTTTTTTAGGCCTTGGTTGTCTTCTCCAAGGTGTTCGACCTTATCAAGGGGGAAAGGGGGTCGACCTCCACCTGTGAGAATTCTCTTGAATACAACCCAGTGTACGATGTCACATGCATCATGAGCGATTTCAGTCGCACAAAACAATACCGGTTTCAGTATAGGACTAAACGCGGAAAAACAAGCTCTAATTGAAGGAAATTCAACTTGCAGAACAATATTTCAGGAAAGGTATCAAGAACGATCCACTGATGGATGCGGTAGATTCCGAAGCGGTTCGTAGAATGCTTCCTAGATCGGGGACACATCCCTAGAACGGTTCTCAGGAATGTTCTTAGGAACGTTCTCAAGAAAGTCCAGAATAAGATTATAAAGGTTCCCGGGACGTTTGCGGAACAGCCGTAGTCTTATAGAGCTGTATTTGGTTCCAGGAACGTTTCCGGAACGTTTCCGGACTGGTACTAAGGTTCTTCATATTTCGTCGGTAATTGACAGAGCGGCTGACCAGGTAGAGCGCACACGCCCCCCACCAGAGTTCACTATGTTTCCTGCCCAGCTCAACAATACAACAAAATTGCGGCATCTTGCTCTCATTTCTCTTTGGATCAAATTCCACATTTGGTTGTACACTCATGTCTACAGCAGTGCACCCCCGAACACCTGTCAAAAAGGTGTGGCACACACTTCTGTTGCCTTGCTCCTCACGGCTGCTACCGCCGTAGCACAGGTCACTTGAACAGATAGACTTGCGTGATCATCCTATAATCTGATTTGTAGTGAGACCTCTGCTCAGCAGATCTGACGTTCGCTGAAAAGAACACCCCGAGGAATCTAGCACAAGCAACACCACCACGGAACTGTTCTTGACTACGTACACAGTCTTCGCATACCCTAAGCCTCTGATTATCATCACCTAATTCTGTACATCGACAAACCCACACGACCATGTCAGGAAGGAATGCCGGCGCCCTTCAACCGAAGTCTGGCCACCCGCCCCATTGGGGGGGGGGGCAATACTTCCCACTAGTCAAATGGAGACACGCACACAATGACTCAGACGACAACACTACAATATCATATCGGGGGCACTGCGAGGGGGGAGGGGGGGGTAGCGATACGACGTAGTAGAGGGATATGTCCGGCTGGAAATCCTGCCACCTCCTCGATCATCAGTCCGGGACATATCTCTCAACCCGTCCAGCCATTTCCGTCCTGCTCTCTTCAAATGCATGCACCTACGTTTCTGTTCTGAATGTTGGCGTGTTTTGCTTCTAGACTACTTGTATAAAAACAACCGCAGCTGTGTTGAAAAATGTACGTGCAGCACCTGAAAACCGAAAACTGCTGTTGTATGCTTACGTGTCTACGTGTATGTAGTGGGTTGTTTTTCGAAAGCAGTGAACAAGTCGAGACCGGTCTTTATCACAAACCCTCAATGAGCAGACAGACAACATCCAACAGCTCACTCGGCAAGGATCCGTCATAATCTCGACGAAAAAGGTCTGTGGCGTCAAAACATCACCGGTTGATGTGAGATCCGTGCGCCGTGGATTGGTGCTACGGGCGCTGCGCCTTTTGACCTTTTGGTGGGAGGAGAAGCTGCTCATTGGAAGCCCGCCCGCTACTGCGGCCACCTCTCTATAACGGGCTCACCGCTGCACGAGGGCAGATGCGAGCAATGTCAGGTCTCGCCAAGAACCAAGCACTACAGCAGCAGCAGTAAGTATATGGCAGCCGCGTGAGAGCAATGGAACCCGGCCGATGAACACACGCCGCGCTCTGCTGGTCAATACGTACACTTGTACTCATTCCGGTGCTACGCTCAACTATAGCCTACACGAATCTTACCACTCTTGCCTGCCGTCTCCTTGCTGCAGGTGGAAGAGGTGCGGGCACCGGGCGTTGTCACAACCAAGGGTCACAACTTCACAGCTCTGAATGGTAGATACGCTGGCGTAACGCCATTTTCCTTGGGTCCGGAATTTTCGCCGGACTGTCGGCGTAGCATACGGAGGGATAAACGCCATTCACCATTTTTTTTCGGCCCATCTGGCCAGCCCCTCTCATCCGCCCGGTGTCCTAGGCAGCAGCAGCGAGCGGCCATCACGAGAGGGCGGGGTGCCTCGTCTCTGTCCGAATCAACCCAAACCACACCTGACACCTTTACCCGACATGCAAAAGGGCATAAGCAGCGCCAGGAGTGACCCTTCCACTTCCTCCCCTCTCCTTCATCATCTCATCTTGCAGCAAGCGGTGCGAAACCCCGGAGGCACTGCTGTGTTCGATGTAGACTCGAGGGTAAGCGCATGTACGTTGCCAAGGGTTTTGTCCTGTCAATCTTCCATTTTTTTGCGGCCATCAAGCTATGGGTAGCCTAAGAACATGATAATGACATCGGTCGGCGAGTGGGCCATCGTCCTATCAACGAAATATATCTACAGCATGTCCGGTCGCGAACCAAGTGTTTACTGGTATGGTATGTTGTATGGAAACACTTGAGGTCGACAAATTATTTTTCCCACACATCGGGGCAACGTGTCGCACGTCAGTTTCCTGTCGCGACAACCCGGCCTATTTGCGTCCTATGTGAGGTCCGCATGGAGCTGCGATGTGCGTTTTGTCGGTGTTGTCCAATACGAGAGTGCACATATGGCTGTGGCCCAAGTGTTTTGGGAGCGGCGGATCTCCTAGTCCTCT